ATGTCACGGCGCCGCACCCCCCCGGGGCCCGGCTGCCTGTCTGCCTACCATAACTTGCGGGCGCGCGTGAGTTGGCGCCTCGTTGTTCGATGCGGGAGTCTGTGGCGGCGAGCGAGACCAGCCAGGCGGTGACGGGCCGACGGCTCACGAGTCACGAACTCACGACTGGGCTGGGAATCGCGGCCGCGGGCCATGTCCGCCGTTTCTCAGTGAGGCCTGGCTGGCGCGGGGCTCTCTCCGGCTCCCGGCTTCCGCACGAGAAACCGACGCGTCGGCGGAATTTTTTTTTTTTAATCCTTTTTATTCAATATTTTAATAATATTCGCTCCTAATTTTTTCTTGCGAATCTAACCTTTCGGTCACGCCACGTGCAATGACGCGGCAACATCCGCCATGTTATACGGCGTTTCCGACGTAGAAAACGCTTGTCACGCCATATCCGCTGGCGTGACAGTAGTGTTTTGTAGCGCCACCGGAAGTGGAGTGACAAGATAAAATATTTAAAAAATCATAACTCTTTGATACGAAGTCAGATGAAGATGAAATTTATATAAAAATTGTAGCTCTCAATAAGATCTACAACTTTATAGTTTTGAGTTTTTGCATTTGAGGATGTTAAGATACTAAAAAAATAATATAAAATTTTAGGACCATAATAACCGCGTACTAATATATGTCGCATTAGAAATAATTTTTTTTATGTTATCACATGAAGATACTTTTTACATGAAAGTGGAAGCTCTCAATGAGATCTACAAATTTGTAGTTTTGAGTTTTAACATTTGGAGTCATTAAAATGCTAAAAAAATAATATAAAATTTCAGGAGCATAATAACCGCGTAGTAGTATTTGTCGTATTAGAAAAATAATATCTTTTTTATATGTTGTCAAATGAAGATACATTTTACATGAAAGTAAATGAAAGTTGTAGCTCTCAATGAGATCTACAACTTTGTAGTTTTGAGTTTTAACATTTGGAGTCATTAAGATGCTCAAAAAAATAATATAAACTTTCAGTAGCATAATAATCACGTACTAACGCTTATCATATTAGAAAAATAATATCGTTTTTATCGTGTCGAATGAATGTACTTTTTATATCAAAATTGGAGTTCTCAATGAGATGTACAACTTTTATTTAAAAAATACTCTTATGTGACATCAAATAAGAAATATACAATTTTCTAAAAGATAAGCTTTGATACACGATTAATATGCAGCTAAAACTTAATATTAGTTATTAGAGTAAGTTCACGACCTCAAATATAGAAACTCAAAACTCAAAACTTTTAGATCTCATTGAGGGTTACAACTTTAATATAAAATGTATCTTCATTTGGCACCATATGAAAAAGATATTATCTTTTAAATGCAGCAACCGCTGCTACGCGATTATTATGGTGCTGAAATTTTATATTATTTTTTGAGCATCTGAACGTCTTTAAACGAAAAACTAGAAAGTTGTAGATCTTATCGAGATCTACAATTTTCATATAAAAATCATCTTCGTCCGATGCCGTATTAAAGAGTTATGATTTTTTGAAAATTCGGTCATGTCACGCCACTCTCGGTGGCGCGACAAAACTAATATTATCACGCCACGGAAAGGTCTAGTTTGGTTTTGGTGAATTGATGAAACCGTAAGTGGTAACCCTAGTTTATCAAGTGATCATGAGATAGGTAGCACACTCCAAGTGGTGAAGCAAATGAAGATCATAGCATGATAAAGATGATGGCATGGTGATGATCAAGCAGTTCGACTTGGAAAGAAGAATAGAAAAAAAAAAAGCTCAAGGCAAAGGTATAATTTGTAAGAGCTATTTTGTTTTAGTGATCAAGATACTTAGAAAGTGTGATCACATTTAGGATTGATAGCCAGTACTATTAAGAGGGGTGAAACTCTCGTCGGCCTCTTTACGGTTATCAAAGTGCCACTAGATGCTTTCGTCATTGCATATGCATTTAGGATCTAGTGGAGTGCTAACACCCTTGAAAATGTTTGTGAAAATATGCTAACACTTGTGTACAAGGTGATACACTTGGTGGTGTTGGCACATTTACAAAGGAGGTGGTGTTTGCGGGGTTTATAAAGGAGTGTGGTGTTGAAAATATGCTAACTCTTATTCATCGGTTTTGGGAAAATAGAATGCCTATTTTCTATTGCTGACCTATGTAAATTCTTGTGGTTGGCACATTGGAGCAAGGTAGATTGAAGAAGTGAAAACGAGTTGATGCCGGCGTCGTCCGGTGGCCGAACGATCAGAATCAAGCAAAGAAAGTTATCCATTTTGTGAAAATAATAAAAAAAAATAGGGTTTACCATCTGGGAAGTGCATCGAGTGGATTTATTTTAATCCGGTCGAGGAATATAAAACTTGACCATTCTTTTATTCGACCGGACGAATGGTTCTTCGTCCGGTCTTGTTTAACCGGAAGCGTCCGGTCAATCATAGGTATTGGAATCGGCGACTTGTTTGAAAATGACACGTGGCGTCCATCTAAAACAACTAAGATCCAAAGAAATTCAAGTGGACCGGGCGTCCGGTCGAGCCTAGTACCCAGTGAAGGGGTAGAACGGCTCTATTTTATGGGGGCTTCTATTTAAGCACCATGGCGGTATGGCTCATCTTTGGCCATTTTCATTGACATAGCAACCTTGTGAGCCTAGCCAAAGTTCTCCCACTCATCTACATCATTTATTCATCATCATAGTGAGATTGGGAGTGAATCCAAGTGTATTGCTTGAGTGATTGCATCTAGAGACACTTGGTGATTGTGTTTTATAATTTCACTTGTTACTCTTGGTGGTTGCCGCCACCTAGAGACTTGGAGCAAGTTGGATCGTTGAGTGGAGGAGGTGATTGTCTCCGACTTGATCGTGGTGATTGTGAGTGGTTCTTGACCTTTCCCGGCGGAGCGCCAAAAGGTACTCTAGTAAATTGCTTGTGGCTTGTGATCCTTATCTTGTGTTGGTTGACCGGCACCTCTATTGAGGGTTTGCGTGATGCCAATCGTCGAAACCTCAAGTGATTGAATCGCCAAGAGAGGACTAGCTTACAAAAAGCAAGTGAACCTCGGTAAAAATCATTGTGTTCATCATTTAATTCCCAAGGTGATTGGTCTACATTGGTATTCATTATTATGATTGATTGGTTCCTACCACTACTCTGATAATAACTCTCTTGCTCACTCTTACATTACCGCAAAACTAGTTATCAAGCTCTTTAGTGTAGCTAGTTGTGAGAACTTGTTTGTTTGATTAGTGTTGCTCTTTAGTTAGTCTTTGAGAGCACACATAATTTAGCTAAAGTGTCATAGCTATTGTGTGGACATACACTATTCAAATAGAATTGTGGTAGGTGGCTTGTATTTTAGTAGGCTAGCGCAACACTATAATATCGACCCGCTAAAATTATCTAACACATTTTGTTAAGTGTTGTTGTAGAATTTTATTAGGCTATTCACCCCCTCTAGCCATTAGGATCTTTCACACGTCACCGGAAGTGGCGATGGGCTTTTCCACGTCAAAAACGCCGTTTAACATGGCAGATATTGCCGTGCCACATGCGTTAGTGCGATAAGCGTTGTTCGGCGACCAAAAGAATCAGATCTAAAAATTGGTTTTAAGCAGTTATTATTAAAATATTTAATAAAAAATAATTAAAAAATAAAAATTCTTCCGCGTCGGCACATGGTGGCGGCAACGCAAAGCAAGCTCAGATGTTGCCAGATGAAGCTGTCAACTCTCTCGGCCTCTTTCGCTCCATAGATTTGCAGTCGACCGGTCGTCGTCGGAGTCATCATTATTAGGAGAAAAACTTAACGATCTAGAAATATGTTTTCAAAGCTCGTAGAACTGAATGATACCTCTTGATAAGTTCAGAAATCACTGGTTTATTTGACTCTGTTATTATTAGTAGGGTTAAAAGTACTTTTTCATCGGTGGTAGTATGATTTTCAACTTTGACCTACGAAACAGGGTACCTTCCAATTGTCACTTGTCAATTGTCAAAACGGGACAAATTTTGTCCTCGCATGATTTCAAAGAAAGTTATCCATTTTGTGAAAATAAAAAAAAAAACTGATTTACTATCTAGAAGTGCATAAGTAATTTATTTTTAATTTTGGAAAATATAAAACTAGAACCATTTTTATTAAAAATGTTCTCTACTTGTTTATGATCTATATATAGGTATTTGGAATTGACTTGTTTTAAAAATCGTTATTTATTTAAAACAACTAAGATCCAAAGAAATTCTATAGCACCAGAAGATAGATGACATTTTTAGAAGAAAAATAGAACTAGTATCATATTTTTATAATTTAAAGATAAATTAATTATGGATTTCTCTAGAGATCAAATAAGATTTTTATTATTTTTAGAAAAATAGAAAACTACTTTTGAATCTAGCCAGAGGACCAAAGTTATCCGGTTTTGATAGTTGTAGCCTTGTAGGCCGTGTGTTACTCGGTTTTATAATTCACAAGGTGTAAAATCGGAGTATGCTTAAGTTGGATGTTAGAAAATATACTTGACCCTTACTAATATTATATTATTCATTCTCAAAATCCTAGCTATGAGATATTATATTGGTTCGCGACCGGGTCTCTCGTCGTCTTCAAAACGTCGAAATATATAATTTTTCTCCGAAGAGAGAGTTACAAAAAATAATAAAGTAGTACAATACACAACACAACTAAACAACCAACACATTTTTTATTGGAGATATATATAGAACTGCATTACTCTGATAATAACATCTAGTATTCTAGCCCAACCTAGCTACAAGCAACTAGAACCAGTAGCGGCGTTCTTTGCCGCACTTATTCGAGATGAGCGGTTGTTCATGCATTTCATGCCATGCATGCAGCATGTGTACCACAGGATGCTTTTCGTGCACTGGCATCTCCAATCCAAAAAAAAAAAGCACCACACTGGACATCCAAGGGTATGCATATATAATATAATATCGACCCGCTATCTATATGCCACAGGCTGTCTATAGATGGCAGATGCATCTGTAGTGGTAAGCGCTGTTGATGGGGTCGCTGGGGTCGATGGGCACCTCCTGGACGCTGCACCTGTGCCGGCAGCCTCGGCACTCGTTGTAGGTGCACGTCGGAGCCCTGGATCCGACCAGCATCCTCCTCCCGCCGGCGGCAGTCTCCTGCTCCTTGTTCAACGCCGGCCAACCACCAGCTGCGGCAGCCGTCGTCGGCGGTGCCTCACTCCATTTCCTAAATCCCTATACATGCATTGTATCTCGTCATGTAAAAAATAAATAAATAAAGCATGCATGCATCAAGATGAAATGGATGGCCACATGCATGCTTGTCATCAAGATCCGCTCTCAGTCTGGAACAAAATAATCTCTCTCATCCAATCCATACATTTTACCTCTCTTCTCTTTTTTTTTGACAATATTTTACCTCTGTTCTCTATCAATACATGCCCAGCATGCTCTTGTCGTTGGCTTTTTTTTTAAAAAAAAATCCATACATTTTGACGGAGATTGAGGAGAAAATATTGACACTGTAGTCACTGTCTTGTGAGTCGTACTTTTTCAGTGAATGAATATTATTTTTCTCTCACAACAAATCAGCCAACGGAGCCTAACTTATTAGTCAAGCGAACAGAGTCATTGTCCAAATGTTTTTTGGGTGAGGGATTGGATTTATCCAGCAAGCCTTCAAATAAGTCTACTTTTGTAAATACACCGGGCATTGTTACCTGCAGCTGCCCTGTCTGACTCTGAAGGGCTACTTCGCCAGTCCGCAGCGACCCTCTAGCATCAGCTACGGCATCACCTGTTAATAAAAAGCGCAAATGAAAGCATTATTATTCTTGAGAAATACACATATATAAATGATGAAATGAGTCGTAGGCATCGATCGATCGTCTGCTGATTGATCGACGACCGACTGCCATTTGGAGACTGGAGTACCAATCACTAGGACAGCCACGAGGAGGAGACGACACAGCGCCACACAACGACGCAGCTGCTGCTGCCTGCTGCTTCCATATGCTGCTGCCATCTTCCTTTCAGGCTATGGAGCCCTATAGCTAGCTGGACGCGAACAAGTGAGGCAGGCGTATGCGTATATATACTGCGTGGCGCGCGATAGATGCTTGCGTGCGGCAGTGCCAGGAGCTTGCTGGGCCTTCAGGCCGGCCTTGCATTGGGTCCGGCAGACGGGACGAGTCTGACGAGAGATGCATGCATGGCGACCGAGCTGCCGAGGAGAAAAGTCAAAGGCCGCGGGCATGGCAGGGACTGCGCATAGTGCACGGTTTGTGCGTTCTAGGCTTTGTTCGGTCTGTATTAAAGCCAAAAAATAAACTGTTTTATTATAAAAAAAAAATTTATAGATTATAGTTGATTAAATTACCGATTATATAAGTTCAAGCGAACCGCCCCCGGTATGGTTCTACGGTTTGCAAATCAAACATGCCCCAACAATTATCAGCCACTACCTAGCACCAGGAGCCTGTGAGTGTATAGTCCCAGGCTCCCAACAATCCGATTCTAGCTACTTTACGGATCTTGCATTGGTTAGTTTTGGTTACGATTTTTTTACAGGGCTATTGTCCTTGGACATGCATACTGGGACTACTACTTCAAGAGACGAATCAAATGGCAAGCAAGGGGATTACCATCTAGGGACATCGACCAAACATGCAGGGAAAACCTACAGTGACCTAAAGCTAGCTAGGCCACCTGTTGAGCAACAGCAAGGCAAAAGGTTTTCACTGTACATGCAGTACCGTTGCTTCAAGACGAAAACAAAGCAAAGCATGCTTACCGATAGTGGCCGGGGTGATCTGCGATGGGGGTACCGAAATATATAATTTATTCACGCCTTGCAGTGGATGGCCTGGCCAGGTAATAGAGGCGCGCGGTAGTGGTTGTGATTCAGGTTTCTTTTACCGTCTACGGTTAAGATGGAAATTTATTAGAGCATCCTGAGTTAACACTCATTCATCATTGGTTAGTGAGTACGTGATTTCATCCGTGATGTATAATCTGCTGCATCAGTCAGGAAGATATAAAAGAGCATGCAATGCAAGGGTCCGTTCACTTCGTTGAAACGAGTCAAAACATTGTTCCGGCTGATTTGTTGTGAGAGAAAAATACTATTTCAGCTAAAAAAATAAACTAAAAAGTACGGATTATAAGAGAAGCGAACAGCACGACGTGTCGTTTGCACGGACAGAGATCTTGCCGAGTCGAGTCTGGGGATTTGCGTAGTGTCTCGTACTAATAATGGGGATTTGCATGGAGACTGGATCGAGGCCATCGATCTGACTGAATGTCTAAGGCCCTGTTTAGTGACTCAGATTTCTTGATTTGGCTTATAAAAAAGAAGATTTCCGAGTATTAAATTTACAAGATGCATCTGGTCTTAAATGTTAACGAAATCAAAACTAATTGCACAGTTTGGTTGTACTTTTTGCGAGACGAACGTTTTGAGCCTAATTAATCAACGATTGACAATTATTACCAAATAAAAACATCGCTACAGGCATCTATAACACGGTCCGGCTGCGCCTCCGAATCCGCCTCCAACTAAACGTGGCTAAGCTTGTATGTCATATCATTTTTTTAGGGTAAATTGTACTATGTCATATCAGCCTCAGCTTCTCTCGTATTTGTTGCATTTTTTTCTGTAGAAATGATCCTGTGTTCCAATGGGACTCTTATTATTTAACCAAACAGCCCAGAACTTCGCCTCGACCGCGGCCTCTCAATTCAATTTCCCAAATCCGGATGCAGCAAGAAGGGAGCTCCAAAACAGTCTTTTAATAATTTCCCAAATCCAGACGCATGCAGTGCAACACGAAGAAAACTCCAAACCACGAAACAAACAAGAAGAAAGCTCCGAATCTGGGAGAGGCCGGTGCTCAGAGCATGCAATGCCCACGCCACGCTGTATCTGAATGACTGCATGCATGCATCCTTTTCGCCTGAACGTTCCAGGTGACTCTGGAAATCCGGATCGCGCGCGGGGCCGGCCGAAGAGACCAACGGGAAGCCTCTTGCAGCCTGGGAACCGCAGGGAGCCAGCCAGGGCCGAGAGCCTGCGAGGCTGCGACTGCGCGCGTCTCCAGCAGTCAGTCTCCACCGCGCGCTGGCCGCACTTTGCCCGTCCGGCCAGCATGGCCACCGGGATCTCCAGATCGTCCGCGGGATCTCGGCAGCAGAGCAGAGGCGGCATGCCGGAGCACGTCCCCGCCCATCCCCCACGCCGCGCGCATTCATCGGGCCACAGATTTAGTGTACAGGCTACAGGCAGAGGCCGCAGCCCGCAGGGCAGAGTCCAGAGAGTCTGGCAGCGAAGAAACAGCGCGCGGGCAGGCAGTGTGCACTGTGCAGCGACGATCTGCGACTACGCCGACTAGAGTGTCTATCGTCCATGGGCGGCGTTTCTGACGTCCCGCGGCCGCGGGCGTGTCGTGTCTCGCGCGGGCGACGGCACGGCGAGGCTGGCCTGGCTGATCCCACTCGCTTTGCCTAGCTGCGCTGCGGCATGCATGCATGGCCCCTGTTCGTTCAGCAGTACCAGGACAAGCAGGAAAGGAAAGATGAACTAGAAATCAGGATCAGGATCAGGATGCGGAATCTGACAGCGAACGCTTCTTGCCACTTCCCTCTGCTTCCTTCCATTGCTCCTGGTCCTGACCGTTTTGCGTTGCTAGATCAGGTCCGGCAGCTGCGACATCCGAATACGATACTGGGTTTGGGCGACAAACTAAAATCTGTTCCGATCGTTGGGGATGAACTTCCGGTACACTAATACAGATGAACGGTAGAACTAACATGTACTCCTCCATCCCAAATTGTAAGTCATTCCAAGAATTTGAGAATCAAACTTTTTCAAGTTTGACTAATATTATAGAGACACAAAGATTGATGACATCAAATAGGTATAATATGAAAATATAACTAATGAAGAATCTAATGATACTTACTTGGTATGATAAATATTATTATTTTGTTATATAAATTTAGTCAAACTTGAAAAACTTTGACTCTTCAAGATTCTTGAAATGACTTATAATTTGGGACGGAGGGTAGTAGTAACCAACAGCGGGACAAAACCAGCACGAGCGAGCTGTGAAAACTGATGAAAATTTTGATGCTTAGCGATCGCAGCGCGCGTCAGTGCGTCACTAGTCTATCAGGCGAGGCGATCTACAGCCGATCGATTCTTGCAGCATTGGGATCAGCGGCAGGGGCGTTTGCATCCTTTTATTTTAGGAGAATTAGAATCTACTTGGACTATGCTATTTGTCTTGGAATTGATATTCCATAATTTTCCGAAGTTAAAATGTAAGCCTATCTCATAGAATAGGAAATATAAATTGATTCTATAGATCATTATGCTATGTTTATACTCCGCAACTTAAAGTACACTCTTAGGCTCACTCCCCTACAATAGAAATACATCACATAAGTATCTCTTTTATATACAAATATATTCTACATACAACTATATTATCTTAATTGATATGTGTCTAAACTATGATTATTAGAATGAATTCCAATTTTAAGGATCCAAACAGGGTCTAAGAGTATTTCATTTCATAACACTCTGTAACAATTAATTGCGTATATCTCTGAAACTATGCAACAGGTCTTGTTTCATTTTATCACCTTCAAGTTACTCTTGGAAAGAGTCCCTCGAATTTTAAATAATGAACTCGAATTTGGGTAATTTTTTAATGAAAACCTTGAGCATGTACTAACATTTTTTCAAATCATTTCATAAAGCTTTCCAAACTCATTTTTAACCGCCACTCGATCCTAGCAACGCATGCAATGTTAGATCACTCAATGCAGCGCACCCACCCGCCACGGCCTTCTCCAGCGCGGTGGTGCCGCACCCGCGCCCCATCCCTAGCGGCTTGCGCGCCCCATCCTGCAGAAGTAGATCTGGATGTTGCGTATACATGCATTTAAAAAAAACTCGACCGGGAATGTTAAGACTGCTCCCGCAGCATTACAAATAAAAAGAAGGATCTTCTCACCCGACCGAGAAAACCCTCGAATCTCCGCCCCCACCCTTACACGGTGGCTTTCCGTCGCCCAAGTGAGAATGAGTGCCGCTGGATCACCTAACCGTTTGAGCTATGCGCCCTTTAGCATACATGCATTTTATAAGCATATGTTTTTAAGTGTTTTCATATGTATGTTTGCAAATATTTTATCTCGATGTTGCATATATTTGTAATGGTTTTAAAATGTTTTTTAGGAGTTTTCGAAAGTGTTTCAGACACTTATTTCAAGTGTTTCATCTATCTTTTTTTTTATATGTTACAACTGTTGCATCTGGATGTTTCAAAAGTAGACTGGTGTTGCACATGAGATACGCGTGGAAAGCGGCTGGCAACACGGATGACGATCAAGACAACGTGGGCAACATCCAAGGCGACATAGGCCTACTGCTGATGCGCTCACTCGCAAGCCTGACACGCTAGGCGCTTGCAAGCCTCCTTACGCGAGTACCATCCGTCCGGACGCTAACAAGACCGGTCTATAAAAGGATACAACTATGTAATTTGTGCAAGTCAACCTAAGGTTGACTAAGTTTGTAGTGCCGTGCCTGAATTTCAAATGACGAACTCAGAATCTGGGTACCCTTTTTTTTTTTGAAAACCCACAGTTCCTAGGCCAGGTCTTCCGAGGTCGACAGCACAATGGGGCCTATTTAGGTTCACAGTAAGATGTAAACATAGAGAAACAATGAAAATATTTGCTGCCTTGTGCTAATCTACTTACATAGTAGCAAGGCCGCCATATGACAGACTAACATCGGAATTTTCTTTTCCAAAAAATCTACAAGCACGCCAGCTTCCTACTACTCTACATGCTACAGAGTACAGACAAAGTAACCAAAGCTGCAATCTTCACTGCAGAGTACTCGTGTCCTCCTGGCGGCGGAGCCGGGCAAGCTTCCGTGACTAGAATCACCAGATGTCCAGATGTGTGCCACGCTCCAGTGCACCATTACCTCCTCCCGCTTATGTGTGGAGA